GGTTCCGGGGGTGGAAGCTCTGGAGTCTCAGGGGTTCCTTCCCTTGCCTTCAAAACAAGTTGGTATAATGCTGGTACTCTAGGAGTACCCTGTCCCTGTAATGTGTGTGCGAGAGAGAATCCACTCTCTCTTTGGCCCATGTCTATGCTGCGCCTGCTTGTCTGTTGGCCCCGGGTCCCGCCTGTCCCCCCCCCCCCCCAAAAGTTCCCGACCCCCAATTTGGTGATCAAATGTCATAACTTGTGAAACAACTCTTTAAATTATGAGAGAAGATAGTCTTTCCCAAAGAGAATAGTATCTGTACATCACCTGTATGTCATGGCCAGTGTTCCCTCTAAGCTGAGTTAGTCCGAGCTAGCTCACAGTTTTTCAGCCTCCAGCTCACAGATTTTTGCCTTGGCTCAGGAAGGATGGCTCCAGAGCAGACTAATTTATGCAGGAGCCAAATCGCTCGCTCACAGCTCTAATGCTAGTAGCTCACAAAGTAGAATTTCTGCTCACAAGACTCCACATCTTAGAGGGAACATTGGTCATGGCATCTTGCAAAGGACTGAGGTGGGTTAGCATGATATTTTCAGACAAAAAAGAAAGTGGGTTCCGCACCAGGAAGCCTGACTCCCTGACCTCACAGATTTTGGGGTGAGCAATGGCAGTTCAGCAGAAATGTACTCTGTCGTAGCTCAGATATAGTCTCTTCTATTATTTACAAGTTCTTGGGGCTGACTTCTGGTGAGCCTATATCAGATTAAGGTTTGTTTATTTATTTGATTTATATACCGCCCTCCCCGCGGGGGGGGGGGGGGCTCAGGGTGGTTTACATCAATACTGTTAAACAATCATTTAATAACAGATTAAAACAACATCAAATCGCAGGTCAGGATTTTGGATCCAAGTGCCAAAAACGCCATAACGTCTACCTGGGAAGAATGTGGTGTCCTGGCTAATGAAGGGAGGGGGAGGGCAAAGGTTGTATTTGCCCGGGCATCCTGAGATTGGGCTGAGCACAGCTGCCCTTGCCCCAGTGCCTTGGGCTCGCCTGGATCCCTTGGACAGAGGACTGGCCTTGCCTGTTGGATCTGGTGAGCTGCTGTCTGGCAGGCTGGCCAGGGGTTGCCTGCCTCTGCTCTAGGTATACTTCAGGAAATGATCAGTTCAGGTGAGAAAATGGCATGCAAGGGGAGGGGCTAAGATGACCCTATGTCACTTTAAGTGTGTCTGTGCTATGCATTAATGATTACAGGATTCCATGTAATTGGTTGGTTGCAAAGATCAAAAGCCGAAATCTCGGCTGTGCTTTATGGGCCCATCCACTATGATAATGAGCACTAGTGAGGAGGGCTTAGTACTGCGAGGTTCAGTGAAGGGAGCCTGTAAGCCAGCCTCCTGTTGTGAGAATAGCCCTAAGTTTACAATTGGGGAAATCTTGCTGGATCTGGGTGCTACTGTGATGATGATGATGGGAGAAGGTTGTTATGTAAAATGCAAGACTTCTTAGGGGTAATTTCAACTTTATGAATATGGAGGCAGCAGAAGTTGCATAAGCAGCCAAAAAGGCAAGAAGCCAATTCCGAGGCACACGTTTCTCCCCATGTTTTAGCAACATTTGAGATTTGTCGGAATGCTTATGCTGAACACTGGTTTGACTTGCAATTGAAAGGTTTGTTCAAATAAACCTGGATGTCTTTAAGAGACAGGCAGGCTGATACCATCTCCTCTGGCATCTGTTGGGAGTGCAAGTAGAAGCTTGCACCACAGTAGTTATTCCTGCATCTTGTAAAAGGCCATACAGGTCCGAACGAGCATGAAGCACAGTAGAAGCATAATTAGGATGGATGGGATGGGATGGTGTGCTATCACAAGTGGAAACACTTGGAGCTGGTTGTTTTGCTTATGCAGCGTAGGAATTCTTTGTCGTCCTCCTCCGTTATTGGAAAAGTAAGGCCATATTTTGTTTCTGATCTGTACATTTTAAGTAAATTCATGAAAAGAGGGGGGGGAGTCTCAAAGACCTATAAAAATTCATGGGGGATATCCTGCCTTGCAGTGCTTTGGTAAAGGGGTGGGGGGGCTGTGCCCAGTTCCCAACACTCATAATCGTTTCCGTGGTGAAGGGGCTACCCACTCACTCTGCCCTTGCAAGGATCCCAAATGTAAGGCAATGAGTGATCCCCCCCCTCTACACCAGCGGAGGAGATGTAGGAACTACCTGGGTAGAGACCCTTTCCTCTCATGCTTCCCTCAATTTCCACTGATCGTGACTTCAGGGATAGATATGTGCTGTAGATGCGTACATAAATGCTCACAAGCTGGATCTTTTCAAAGCATGTAGAAGAAAGAAAAGTGAGCTAAACTGCAAGAAACCTCAAGGTCAAATGTGTACGGTAAAGCAATCTACAGTCCACTACCTGCATTTAAAAGTTGACAAACTTAAAAAAAAAACATCTTCACTTTGCATCAAGGTTTGATTTTGCTTTTGTTATGGAGGCTGCCCAGCGTTTTGGACCATGTCACATGCTCATGGGCAGAAGTTTGGAGTGTGTGCTCAGTATTATGAGCTGTTGGCTCTGAGGGGACGAGTTTATTCCCTTGATACCAAGGCTGACCTCAAAAACATGGAGTAAAGCTGACACAAGATACTCAGGGACATGTAAGAGTGGTCCTGTTCCTGTCCTGCCCTGGATAGCCCAGGCAAGCCCAATGTTGTCAGATCTTGGGAGCAAAGTAGGGTTGATTCCGGCAAGTACTTGGATGCAGTGTTCCCTCTAAGCTGAATTAGTGTGAGGTAGCTCACAGTTTTTTAGCCTCTGGCTCACACATTTTTGTCTTAACTCAGGAAGGATGGCTCCAGAACTAACTAATTTATACAGTAGCCAAATTGCTCACTCACAACTTTAATGCCAGTAACTCACAAAGTCGATTTTTTGCTCACAAGACTCCACAGCTTACAGGGAGCATTCCTTGGATGGGAGACCTCCTTGAAATACCAGAAGCGGGAGGCAGGGGCAGGCTTTATTCATCCACCTCTCTGAATATCCTCCAGACCCCCAGTAGGGGTCACTCTCCAGAGGTCGCCATGACTTCCAGTGCGCACACACTCACACGGACACATGCACACACACATGCACATATTAAAAAATACCAAAAAAAGAGAGAAGTCCTGTTCCGATTCTGAGGTGGAAAATGAATACGTTAAGGTAGGATAGGAAAATGATCATGATGAAAGGATGCATGTTTCAGTTGACAAACGAAGGATATGCCTTTGGGGTAGCATGTTTGATAGTGATACACATAGATGGTTTGTGATGGGTGCATTACCTACATGATGAGTCGTCTTCCTGCTGCATAGGCCATGTTGTTCACACCCCATGTGGATGGGTCTTTTAAATAGTGTGGGGAAAGAGGCTGCACGTATGGTTGATACTGGCACCAGTGATGTTAGGAAATGTAAACAGGAGTCTTGTGGTATCTTACAGACTAACCAACTTTTATTCTCATGTCCATGGACTGGAGCCCATTTTGTTAGATGTATGTCATGAGGTCCTGAGAGAAAATTTAAGTTGCTGCCCCAGTCCCCTGGAAGCATCCATCTCCCCAGTGTAGGGTTGTCAGCCAGCTGGCGTCTGCGGGTGGGGGCACTGCCATTGCAATGCCGTTTTGTCATTACGGGTTTCCCCCAGAAAGTGACATAGCACCATCATGACTATGGAAATTTTTTATTTTTTTGCATCCCACCCTCAGTGGGAACCTGGCAAGCCTACCCCTGCACTACTAGGGCGTTGCATCTTGTTATAACAATCCGTGTATTGGGAGCTCTGAATCAGCATATTTCATTTAAAAAATCCCTTTGGCCTTCTTCTTCTGGAGCTATAAAGGGGAAAAGATATCTCTTCAACAAAAGGGGCTGGAGATTTATCCTTTCTTAAAAAAAATAAAAGCTAAGACTTCTGAGATCCTGATACACAAAGTGTTATGTTATAATGATATTCAGTTGCTAATTAAAAACAAACAAACAGCTCCCCCAGTGGCAGAGGGGAGGAAATTATCATTGTACGGGTAAAGGCAGGGAAGATGGCTGCCATGTGGGTGGGACTGGGAAAATCCAAACATTCCCTTCCATGCAGCAGACAGTCAAGCTTTGCTGCAATCTTTCCAAAAACTTTGCAGCAAAGCAAGCTTGAGAAAGATGGGAGAAAACCAAGGAAAATAAGTTTAAGCTATCATTTTCTCTTTTTTAAAATACCGTAACTGGTTTAAAAGAACATCTGAATTTAAAGTAAGCATATAATTTTTTAAAACTGACTTTATAGCCCTATTAGGAACTTATAAAGAGCTGCTTATCTTTGTAAACAAAGAACTGTGATGAAAAATCTTCGTCACTTATCATACAGCACAGTAGTTCATGTATTTTTATTATGGCTACGTACTGGGACCACAGGGACTTGGTATGTCGTCAGAAGTGCCATCCAATTGATCCATCTGAGTAACTCGTGATCTGCTCAGTAACTACTATCAGCGGTTAATTCTAGTTGAGATTATTTACTATTGTGGGGCTGCGTAGTTAAATGACAAAGGGGAAGAGGGCAGACTAAAGAAGAAAGGAATGCTGGGAACCATTTATTGTACTGATTCCAACCAGCACCTTTCTCATATTGATTCCAATCAGCCTGTCATGATCTCATAGAACATGTCCATTCACACTTGCACAAGTAGAAATACAAGGAAGTCATAGCAAGTGGGTCCTGCACTAAGTAAACTTTACCCCATCTTGCGTCTCTGTTTGCACAAGACAAATTGCAAAGTATATTTCAGCAGCGCTTCTCCCACTGATAACAACCTTTGATATATCATATCACACTTCCAGGTTGGAGTGTAATGGCTGCATCAAATAATTGTGTTTTTGTAAAAGCAACTCTGCACT